CACTTGCGAATTTTGACTTAAAGATCTTCTATTACATGTACATGCCTTGAACCTTTCAGGTTATTCCGGCTTGTGAAATACTTTTAATCAATCTTGTTTTCTCTGGAGTTTATACTGACATTTGTTTAGAAGTTTTCTTTTGAATACTTATTTTCCTCGGAGGAACTTCAATTGATAATTCTTTTACTTTGATGAAACTGACATTTGTTTCGAAGTTTTCTTGCGAATACTTATTTGCTAATTCTCTTATTTGAGGTGCTTTTCAGAGCTGAAATTTTACAGCATTATATTACAGAAATTAGAAACTATCAAGTGTATCTCTTTGATGCACTGAGTTGTGTAGTTTGTGAACTTACAGTGAATTCAACATTTTAATTCACACATACCTGTACTTACCTGTAAATACTTGAATTGCAAATGCTGATTTTCATGCGGGTGTGAATAGACATTCATTTGATTAGTGTAATCTAATTCTGAGTTGTAGCTACACTCACTTGAGAGACATCTGATTGTAAATACGGAATGGTGTATATTTTGTATTATAGAATTGAGAAATTTTGTAAATAAATTCGTATCAAATATTGTGAATAGTATAGATTGGGTGTTGTTACAATCATTTTTCTGGCCTGCATCCAGTCCTTCTGTTGCAGTGGCCGTAAAGTGAGCACACTGTGACAATAGACTCCTCGATTTTCTCAAGTTTTTGTTCCCTTTCTTAGGACTGTGCCTCTGAAAAATGCATACACTTAAAGACATGCTTAGGAGTGAATTAACCCTCCTTCTGTTATAACCATCAAAAACAGTCAAAAATGCCTTCCCCCAGTACACAGACACATATGGGAAATTTGACTGATTTTGACTGATATGACAACTGTGTCAAGAATGCATCTTAGCATAGGAGGGTTTAAGTAGCTTATATGCTGGGTAGCTGAACTAGATTGTAGTACATGTAACTCTATCTTTACAGAAGTCTACTTAATGTGAAAATGGGACAAATCTTACTATTATTACAAGCAGATATTTTTGTGAGTGATTAAGTCCAAATAAAAAGAAGATAAAAAAAACCAAAACAAGGTTTCTGAGATGTAGCGATCCTCATTTCCAACAAAAGTAAGTTTAAGGAATCCCTCTCTCAATTGATGGAGAGCTGTGAACAGTGGGTCACAGCTTCCACACACACAAGTGTGTATTTACCTGCAACTGGGGACCCCCTATTGT